GGGAGTGGGCGCATGAAATGATAAATCGATGGCTACATAACATGAGTGACCCTCATCACGCTACCTTACATGACTGATCTATACACTAAAAAAAAATAATAGCAAAAACAGACAAGTAATATAAGAATGGAGAAAAGTGTAAGCAGAAAGAATACCATAACAAAACGCTGGAACGTGTTTTGTTTTTGCACATGAAAAATAACAACACAAAGGCTATTGACACCAGTCTCTGATTCCAAACACTTTTCGTACACACTACTGACAACATACAAAACAGATATCTACATAAGAAGTCACCTGTACAAATGACTACTCCGCCCCCCCCCCCCCCCCCCCCCCCCTCTCCCCGCTACTTCTTTTGAGTTTTTTCAAGACATCTATGCGCTACCCTTCAAGTGACGTTCTGTTTAGTTTAGTTTTAGTTTTAGTAGAGGTTTTACTGCACTCGCAACTGCATAAGGTCTTATGAGCGCCAGAAGATTAGAAGTCTTACAGGAGAGTAACAAACATAAAAAAGAAGGAGGAGAGATAACGACGACAGATGTTTGATACGAAAGAAAAGGCAAACCACACCAGAGCATCCACCAACCACCCGCAGAAACATGTCATTGAAGCAACAGGCAACACATAGGTACAGAGGCACGGGGGTGAATCAGCATCAGGAGGGGACCAGAACCTCACCAGATGTGGGCCAGGATGTTGGTGGGTAGCCCACTTTTTGCCATGACATCTCTTGTTTCCAGACCACTGACCAGCCCATCCATGTCAGTGTCAAGTTTTTTGAAGATGGCGTCGGAATTGGCCTTTTCTGCTGCAGTCACTACCCAAGGCAAGGGAGACTGAAAGGGAAGATTTCAAGAGAGGGAAAAATCAAGCTCTGAGCACAAAAAGAGAAGAAAACATCATCTTATTCAGCAGAAGTAAATCATCAGTGTCTGTATGAAAACAACCGAAAAAAAAGTAGATAAGTGTTGTTCTGAGTTTTCAACCTTCTTTTGAAATAGGAGTAATTCCACTGACGACCTTAATGCTCAAAGAGTCAACAAGGCCACTGAAGTTAAAAACCTATTATTTTCCCCCGGGTTTGGATATGCCTGGTTTTCTCAGTGAAGTAAAAAGTAGGCTAGTTGATCATCCTGTGCAGAACAAAGAGGGAGAAGTCTGTCACAAGTATAATTGATTCTCTCTTATAATTCCTTTTTCTAAAAACAGCTCAGTATATCATCAACCTCCCAAAGTGTTGGAACGGAAGAGTCCTGGCCTTAACAATCACTTCAATTGTAGATAATGGTGCTAGAAAGTAATGCCTGGTCTAAAGTTGTCGTTACATCAGTGTGCACACCGGTGTTGTGTTGCTAAGATGCTGTTGTGGGCAGACAGACAAAACCTTCCTGACTTAAAACATAGGCAATGCAAATACAGACTTGAAATTCAAAGAAAGATCTCAATAAAACTACTGGCAAAGAAACTAAACATCAATTCCAAACATGGAAAAACAGCAACAGAAAGTGTTAACATGCAATATCAGCTACGTTATTTCTTCATTTTGCTTCTCATACTAAAGGTTAGCTATTCGTAAAATTGCAACCATCAAGGGAAATACATTTTTTTACACACGCATCAACACAGTTTGCACCATTTAGGAGGAGTGCTGCTTCTACTTTGCTGGTCAGGGCCAACCCAGACCGAGAGCAGTACAATATCACAGCAGACAGGCAAAGATACTTGGTAATAATAAATAAAACAAACTTCCTCACTCAGGAATTTGAACATATATGGCTTCTGTGTGCAACTCAAATTCCCGCTCCGCAGCAAGCTCTATATGCGCTTTACAATCTATATCATTACCCCAGCAGACCCCTGATAGCATTCTGAAACAACCTAAACTTCCTGGGAAGCATACAGCGCATACTTACACCGACCACACCCTGGGTCGGGGTGGACCTGCCAAAGCCACTCCCAGCACCGGACGCACCACCAATGGCGGGCAGGACGGGCACAGCTCCAGGCAGGACGGGCACTGCCCCGGGCATGGATGGCGCGACACTTGATGCTAGCCCCGCCCCTTTCCGTTTGGATGGGGGGATCAGCCCTGGTCGCAGGATGGTGGGCAGTTCGTGTCCCTCTCTAGCCTGGTACACTAGGTGCATGGCCTGCATCAGGAGAGAACAATATATAAATGTGCCCTGACGCAGTGGAATCAGGCGCTCGTCAATTTTTGGACAAGTGGAATAGTTGGTATCATTTTAAAGCTTGTTCGTTAGTCTTGCTTTCAGTGAAAAAAATACTCATCTATTATGAAGATATTTGTGATTGAAGGAGGAGGGGGTTACCTGATTTTAGAGGTTAAGAGTCCTAAGAAACTGCAAAATTTACATTTCTGTGCCTTAAATCAACATTTTTCAGTAAAATCTACACAGAAAGGTTTTAGAATTGACCTTAAAGATGTTCATTCAAAAAACAAAAATTTTATAGAAATTGCCAAACGGACAGCAAAAATGCTAGTTTCTTCAACTTCGTTATTTTGACGATATTTTATGTCCATTTAAAATCATATTTTTGCGTGGATTTTACTGAAAAATGTTGATTAAAGGCACAGAAAAAGTAAATTTTCAGTTTTCAAGTACTCTCAACCAATAGAATTCACCAAACTTTGGTCGCCATTTTTTGGTTAATTCTACTTCTGAAAACGGGTGACCCCCACCTTGTTCAAAAGCGAACATCTCGACTTCTATTCCAAAACAGATGGGTATTTTTTTCTTCAAAAGTAAAAAAAAATGAACAAGCCTTAAGATGATATCTGTAACTCCACATGCCCAAAAACTGATGAGCGCCTGATTCCACCACGTTGTGACACATGTATATTATCTCTCTCTCGCTCTCTCTCTCTATCACTTAAAAATCCAAAATGCTGCACACATTTTGTTTTAACTTCCAAACACAAAAACGCCAGATGATAGAAAGAAGGGCAGGGTAAAAAAGAAAAAAAGAAAGTATAGCAACAGAGTCAAATCATTCATTGCAGTATCAGACATCACAACTTTTACAAACTTTAAAAAAAGTGAACACAAACAATGAAACACTAGTAATAAATCACTATTTCAAATTCCTATATATATATATATATATATATATATATATTAACAAACATTGATTATTACCCAAAAAAACTTTAAAATAATATCTTGTGCTAATAAAAAGAAATGTAGTATCTCTTTCCCTATAGACACATACAATATACATTGGTACAGCTAAGAAAAAGATTCTCATTTTAGTCTGAATGTGCCCAATACGTGACTTGAAAAGCATCTCCATATGAAAAGAAGTTACGGTCCAGTGAAAGGAAGGCAACACTGATATTGGTACAAGTCATTTCCAGGAACTGGATCAAGACAGATAACTTACTTTACTTTTTACTTGTTCCTCCTCTGTAGCCGTTAAGCGCCGAGGGGAAATACACATATTTACGGTAGGCCAGCTCCGCAGCTCTTTCAATTGGGATATCATGATGTCTCAGGAATTCCTTGACTCCCTCATTCCACCTTTTGCGTGGCCTTCCTCTTCCTTTATAGCTAGAGTGCTTGGTGTTACAGGCTCTCGAGGCTGGCTGGCCAGGTAACATACATAACAGGAGGCTAAACCACTTTATTATTGGTCCGTCTATGAAATGCAGGCAGGACTCAGTGCCAATAGCTGCTCTTACTTCTTCATTTCTCTGCCTGTCTCGTCTTGTGATAAGGGTTTTGCGGAGAATTTTCATCTTGCATGCAGGGTTTTGCGGAGACATTTGAGATTAATTTAAGTCACGAGCCTAATCATCAACAAACATTGAATACTGACCACAGCAAACTCATCTCTGTCGAGGTATCCATCTTTATCAATGTCGGACATGTCCCATATCCAGCCCAACACGTCCACTGGGAGCTTAGAGTTCATTAAAACCTGTATTTAAAAGGAAAAAAAGTCATGCCTTCATCAGAGAGAGATCCTACACAACTTGGGGGGGGGGGGGGGGGGGGGGGAAGGGGGAGGTCGCAGCTAGAGTTTCTCAAATCACCCGTTTTAAATTTATCAAAAAACAAGATATATAATAATTACCAAAGGGCGTCCAGCTTCGAGTTTGAATTTGTTTGTTTGTTCACTTAAGTAAGGATATCTCGGCAAATCAAAACAGTAACAGTAATTAAGTACAGGAAAAGGGCAAAGACAGACAGACAGAAACAATAGAGGGAAAGAACAAAAGTAAGACCTACCACTAGCACCCTCCAACCACCCCCCAAAGAAGAATATCAAACACAAGAATTGAGAACTTCCTTCCAACAAAGATACAGATTACAAAAGATGGACTTACACAATAAAAAATAAGAATCAACACCTTTACAAATCTTATTTTTTAAACACAATAATAACTAATAATTATTATAATAATGCAAATAAAAAAAATATAATAAAAATAATAATAAAAATAATAATAATAATACACTACATTTACATAGCGCATTTCCATGAGAAAAAAGCTCAACGCACTTTACAATAGTACAATATACCACGCCTTTTCTCCTAGAAACCAGGTAATGAACCGACAAAGGCTCTCCTGTCCACCATAAGTGAAGCACATCTGTACCAACTGGAAGTAACACAACACACACCGGTCAAACAAACCACACTGACCGCCACAGCTGCCACCACTCACCGGCTTCACCTTGTCCCCAGCCAACATGTTCTGAACAGGTTTCAGACTGTCAAACACCTGGTCATACTTTG